CTGAATTTTTTCAGTCAGCTTAAGATTTACACAAGGCAATTCTTCATTTTTGATAAACTTCTGAAGGCTCCCGCAGTAGCCGCTTAAGGTTCATTAAAATGTAATTAATTAATGATTTGCTGCTGAATAGCTGCTGACTGCGGTTTTCTTTTCACTTGTCGGACAGCATGAGTCACAGTTGCCAAGCCGACAAGGAAACTATTTGCAGACTATAGCACCTATTGATGAGTGTTTCACTCTGCGGTCATTTGCATAGGAAGGATGCTGGTAAGGGTGTACACGTTTTGACGACGAATTTTAGTGACACCTAGAATTCAGAAGTGCAGAAGACTGTCAGGAGAGTGCTTGTTTTTTCAAATATCTTTAAATTCTCACTGCAAAAATAGGGATAAATTTCTGAATACAAAAAGGGCAGTTTTATGTAGAGTTTTTGGGGAAAAAAAAAAACAACCTAAAAACATAGTCCGGGGAATTAAAGACTTCCTTTGTGTCTGGGTATGTATGCTTGTGTGTGAATTTCCTTTTGTGGGGTTATCGTGTTAAGGAAATCTGCATTTTTCTTACTCAGCTCGGGTAGTTTCAACACTTCCTTCTCTTAAACTCCAACTAAAGGTAGAATGACCAGCATCCTCACTCAGTGTTTGGAATTCCTGGCCCCCCAGGCCATGAACACAGCCTGTATATTTAACTCGAAGGAATTCACATAAAATACTGACATGTTTTTATTGTGGATATAGGGTAACTATTCTGAACTTATAAAATTAACTGCTTTCAAATATTTACAAGAAAAGGAAATACGGTTTAACCTTCATTCCATTTGCTATCTCCACTGGTGTTTTTTCTTTACCAGAGTTTTATGGAATTTACTTCTTTGTGATGCTATGCTTTAAAATCAAAATCAAAATCAAAACACACTGTTTATAAAAGCAAATTCTTTGATTCCATCTCTATCTACCGCATTTGGGAGACATGGAATCTGACAAGTAGGAATTTAGTTTGCATTGCATCTGAAACGTGGCGTGCAGGCATTTTTGTACTTTACACCAGGCATAGGACAAACTCAATAGCTACTCTAAAGGCACCTATAAAAGACCATACATCTAAGAGAACTGTCTTAAGTGGCAATAGTGAAGAATTACCACAAGGATAAGAATGCAAGGAAATCTTCATTTCGAATTATGAATACTCCAGAAGTCCAGGAAGTGAAAAAAAAGGGATAACTTTGGATTAAGTAGCAGTGACATAAATATGTTGTATCTGCTGTGGGAGTGTTTTAACAGGTAGTACAGTTTCTATTTTTGCTCCTGTATTCTTACTGTCTCCTTTGTCTTGTTTAATACGTGAACAGAGTAAGTGCCTCCTCATGTTACACAATGACTGTCATTAGCTTCTTCTCAAAGACAACTGAATTTTCCATATCATTTGAACATACTGAAAAATGGCACATAGATTGAACATGCTTGTTATGTTCTCAAATACTCAGAAAAACAAGTTGCATACAATTCTCATCATTTTTGCCTCTTTCTGTTAATGTGGTTTTACAACACACTTTTAAATTGATCATTATGCTGTATCCTTTTCAAGTTACTGGTGTTAAATTCTAATAACTTGAAATTATGCAAGAATTAAATTCCCAGTTCATACTGTTTTCTTAACTCATTTACAATCCATTTTCTTTGTCTTTTGCTATATGTACTTACTAGCATAGCACACTTGATGTTCTTTTGAAGTATTACCAAGGTGTTACAGAACTCTTTAAGGAGACAGTAGTATATGGAGCAAATGATTGTTTGCCATTGACTGGAGATACAGAAGATGGTTATAGAACACTTACTGCCCAAGCCCCATTATATACCACTAGCTTACTTTATGTCTGGCTCTTGTATGTGTATCTCTTTGGCCTATGGCAGTGGTTCTCAAACTTTTAACATGCATAAAAATTATTTAGAGAGCTTATTAAACTTTCCTAAGCCTCATCCCAGAGATTCTAACTCAGTAAATAGAGAGGGACTGCTGGTATTTACATTTCTTTGCAAATCACAAATGTGATCAAAGATGCTTGCTTGAGGACCACTGGCCAAGAGGTAGAAGCGTTTTTTGTTTCAACAGATCTCTAATTCTTTGGGAAACTCAAGAAAATAATGAACTCATTCATCTTGGTCCTTCTCTTAGTGAGCTAGTAGTGATTTAGGTATCATCTGAAAAAAAATAAAGGGAAGCAGTATTATAAAAATCACTTTTAAAAATCACTTTTAAATCAGTTAAGAATAGCGTCCTGGCTAGCCCTAAATACTTACTTAAGCAGGAAGGATTGGACTCCAAATGACTTTGCCACTGATGCTGTGCAGCTCAATTTGAAGCAAGGATCTTTACCAAATTTTGGTAAGTGTCATAAAGGTGAATAACTCACTGATGTAGTTAAGAGATGATGCATGCATAGCTTTAGGGCTGCTATTTCCTCTTACCCTTCCTTCAACTTGTCCTTTTTAGTGAAAATTCATAAGTAAAAAAATGAAATATAGTACCAATATGTGCCATATGATAATATTTATGTTCATATTAAGATATCAGCTTCTATCATCATATTACCTCATACTTAGCCAATTTACTCTGATAATGCCAGGAGAAAGACTTAAGATTTCATCTGTATACACATCATGTTAGATAACCAAATATTCTCTCAGGTCACCTGGATAGATTTTATCTACACAATTTTGTAAATACCAAGTAATGAAGATGCATACATCATTCATAAGACACTTACCATGAGCCTTAGAAACTCATTGCTGTCAACTCTTAGAAGCCCACTTACGTTTACCTTATGCATGATGCGCTTTCGGAAAGTTCCTGGAAAATGTGCATTATGAAGAACTCTGCATACTTTCAAAACTTGTCACCAAAGTAAACATCGAAATTCCATGTTTACACACATTTTGAAGTACCCTTGTATATCTCAAGATATAATGAATTTGAATTCACATTATTTATAGAACTTAACGACTTCCGTTCACAACTTAAAGATGCTGAGCTAACATGTGAGTTCTATACTATCACAGATATGGATAGAAAATGTAAATATGTTATACCATAGTTACACTAAAAAAGACCAGTAACTAACCTTTCCAGATATTTTAAGGACTTGGCACAGCGCTAAGTGCTTTATTTATCTCATTGACTCTTTTCAACAGCATTGTGATGTAGAAGCTTATTTTACAGAGAGAAAAAACTGAAGCATAACACATTTCATAATTTGTGCAAAATAAAAGAGATACCAAATGGTGAAGAAAGAATTTAACTTCGTTCTACTGAATCAAAGCCCGTGTTCTTCGCATTACACAGTAGGACTTCCTGTTTCAGTTGACTCATTATATGTGATTAAAGACAAGAGACTGCTTCTTTAGGACTTCAGTTCTGATCTATCAGATGGACTCT